TTCTGTGTGTGTCTACGATGTTTTGTAGTTCTATTCTCCCCGATCTGTCTGTTCCTATGTTTGTACCCACGATATCCCTGTCTTCTGGTGTTGTGTTGAAATCCCCCCCCCCCCAATTATAAGTTTGTGTTTTGTTGAGGCTAGTGTTGTGGCTAGTGTGTCGTAGAATGCGGGTCGTGTGCGTGGCTGTGCTGGCGCGTATATATTGACTAATGTGTATGTATCTGTGTTGTTCGTGACGGTGGCCGTTGTGTAGTGGCCTGTTGTGTTGTCCGCTGTGTGTTCTGTGCTTGTGTATTTGTCGGATGTTTGGAGGATAGCTGTTCCGCGACAGAAGGAGCCCAGGCCGAACACGCCCGTTGCTAGGCCCAGCTCCTGTGTTAGTTTTTGTGTGGTGTACCAGTACCTGTCGCGGATGTTTGTTTCTTGTAAAAATATAAAGTCGGGTGTGTGTGTGTGTGTATGAGAGTTTTAAGGTGGGGCAACTTACCACGCATCCCTCTTGCATTCAGGGTTAGCACTCGCAAGCCTGCCATCCTGCGTTCTATAAGAAGAAAAAGGAGAGGAAATAATGTTTAAATATGGAAAAAGCATGTCATATTTAGTGTCGTCTGGGGGAGGGGTTTGTCCGTTTGGTTACATTTTTCTCTGTCCTCTTCTTTTTCTCGGTTCTGGCGTCATTTGCATTATGTGTTACTGTGTCGATTGAATTTTGTCTTTTTAAAGGTAGATTAGATTTCTTTTTTGTCTGTCTGTCTTGTTTTTCTTGCTCTGTGTCTGTTTCTAATTCGATCGTCAATGGTCTTTCCTCGCTGTCACTGTCACTTTCTACCGTTTGTTCTTTCTCCGCTTCATCGGCCCAGTTCCGTATGGGGAGGGGTGTCAACGTGCCCTCGAGGGGGGCAAGGGCTATTTGTGGTGGTGGTCTCAGGGTCTTTGTCGGGGTCTTGGTCGGAGTCTTATTGGGGTCGGGGTTTTTGTAGGGGTCTGTTTCTTCGTTGGGGTCTTGGCGGATGATCTGGGTACGGCGGTGGAGGTGACAGTCTGGTTGGTGGGGGCAGTCGGGTTGAGGGCGGGAGATGGAGTGTCGACGGCCGGGGTGGTGGCGGCGATGTTGGTGGTGTCGGTGTCGGTCGGCGGTCGTCTTGTCGGTGGTGGGTGGGGCTGTCGTGGGTTTTGCTTTAAGCGGTCTGCATAGGTTGTTTCTGTCGTCGCCCCGGCCGGACACTTAGAGAGGAATAGTGGTCGTCCCGGGCGGACACTTAGAGGAATAGTGGTCGTCCCGGGCGGACACTTAGAGAGGAATAGTGGTCGTCCCGGGCGGACACTTAGAGAGGAATAGTGGTCGTCCCGGCCGGACACTTAGAGGAATAGTGGTCGTCCCGGCCGGACACTTAGAGGAATAGTGGTCGTCCCGGGCGGACACTTAGAGGAATAGTGGTCGTCCCGGGCGGACACTTAGAGAGGAATAGTGGTCGTCCCGGGCGGACACTTAGAGGAATAGTGGTCGTCCCGGGCGGACACTTAGAGAGGAATAGTGGTCGTCCCGGCCGGACACTTAGAGGAATAGTGGTCGTCCCGGCCGGACACTTAGAGGAATAGTGGTCGTCCCGGGCGGACACTTAGAGGAATAGTGGTCGTCCCGGGCGGACACTTAGAGGAATAGTGGTCGTCCCGGGCGGACACTTAGAGAGGAATAGTGGGCGTCCCGGGCGGACACTTAGAGGAATAGTGGTCGTCCCGGGCGCAGTGGATACATGCGATGCGGCGCCCGGGGATGGTTACCAAGATGGATATAGGGTCGGGCCCGCAGCCCGAGATTCGAACATAATGCGGGATGTCTTGTTCGTCGGCCCCCGCCAGGAGGATATGGCGATCATCAGTTCCATACCTCCTGGGGAGGAAGTCGATTTCGGCGTTTTGTCGGGTGAAGGTTTGGGCGACTTGTTTGATGTGGTCTGCGGTGAATGTGACCGGCACCCACTGTAGGTGTATCTTGCGACGCTCACGGGCCGTCAGCTAGCAGAGGGCGTCAGTCCCCTCCGCCACTTCTCGGAAGGTCTGCAAATGTAGGGGGCTGAGGTCTGTGCCTGGAAGTGGTTCTACGTAGTACGTGTAGTATGTTTGGAGTCTGTAAATTTTCTTGATCTTGGCTGTCGGGTGGAGTGTCGTGATGTGCTGGATGATGGTGGCGGGGGGACGCTACCAGAGTAGCGACCCGTGAGCGTGACGGTGAGGGTGCCGGAGGGGTGTCGGGTTGGTCCGTCTTCGAAATTTAGGGCGGTGAAGTGCGGCATGGTGGTGGTGGTGGTGGTGGCGGTCTCGTCGGGGGCTGTCACGGTCCGGTCGGACCGCTTCTCGGCTGGCTTCTCTCCCAAACGGCGGAGTGGAAGTGGAGGAACAGAGCCCTGCACCGGGAGGATACAAAACGGGTTATACCTTTTTTCGAGTCCTCCTCGGTGCAGGGGTGTCTGGTGGTGCTCGACGTCGTCTGGGAGTCGGTGTTGATCAGGATCTGCTGCTCTTTGATCTTAGCCAAAAGGCCGAGCCCATACCAAAACGAGTGATGTGTTAGGGGATTATTACAACAGGCCCCCACCATCC